CCCACCTCACTCCCCCACCTCAGTCCCCCAACTCACCCCACCCCAACTCACTCCTCCACCTCACCCCACCCCAGGCTCATCTGCTCTCCCTCATTATCTGGCCACTGCAGCTTTACCTGGTATGTCCGTCATTTAACTACATGCGGAGTCATGGCTGACCCTCTTCTGATCAATTGCCAATCCATACAGGTTTGACTGATAAAAGAGCCAATTAGATTTAAGCAAATTAAGGGACATCACCAATGTCAAGCACTTATTAAACCGAACACCAAATTCCATGCATACAAAATACAGATGCACTGAGCCCCATTAAGTGTTCAAATCCTAACCCCATTAGTAACTCCAGACCTCGCAGGGGTAAAGGCCACAGGAAAGTTTCATATTTATGGATTAACATTTGGATTCTGTTTTTATTTTTTAACTCTTTTCCTAGAACTCTTGAACCTGTACCATATTGCTGTTCGAGAGCATGAATAAAAGACAGCTTTCATTTCTTGGAGGATCTTAGCTCTAACTACAAGTATTCCATTTTACCAACAACCCAAAGTACAGTGATTGGAGAAATACTGAAACCCAAGTGCACAGAGCCAGGTGGGGCTGTGCTATACAAGAGAAAACAGTAGGCACTCCCCTTGGTCTCCAAAGAATATTCAAATGAATTTGTAAAATAAATGGGTGCGTTTTGAGAATTGACCATCATAATACACATGGTGGTGGCATCTTCTTGCTGTCTTTTTCCCCTAACTTCAAATAACTTGTACTTATCATATTTATTTATTTATTTTTATAACACAGGGTTTTCACAAATCCCTGACTGACCTGGAACTTACTATGTAGACCAGGCTGGCCTCCATTTCACAGAGATCGCCTGCTTCTGCCTCCTGAGTGCTGCTGAGATTAAAGGCATGTGCCACCACGCCCAGTTAGGGTTTATCATGTTTCTTTTGTCTGTATGTGTAGATCTGTTTATGTGTGCCTGCATGTGTGTATGAGAGTGTACAGATGTTCATGCACATGTGTGCAGGTAAAGGCCAGGGATCCACATCAGGTGTTTTTCTTACACACTACCTTATTTTGGAGACAAGATCTCTCACTGAGCCTCAATTAGGCTGGCTGACCAACAGGCCCCAGAAATCCTCCTGCCTCTTCCTCCTGGGGACTAGGATTAGAAGCATGACCTACCATGCCAGGACTGTATTTCTATATGGGATCTTGGGATAGAATCAGGTCCTCATGTTTGTGGGGCAAGCACTTTACCCACTGGGACATTCTGCAAGCCTGATATTTCTTTAAAAGTATTTTATTTTTTATTTTACATGTATGAATGTATTGCCTGCACGTGTGTAAATACACCAATGTCATGAAATGTCTATGGAGGTCAGAAGAGGATATTGGATGCCCTGGAACTGAAGTTAAGGATGGTTGTTAGCTCCTGTGTGGGTGCTGGGAATTGAACTCATGTCCTGTGCAAGGGCAGTCAGTGCTCTTAACCACTGGACCATCTCTCCAGCCCCCAGCCTCATATTTCTTAATCATATTTTTCCCATCAGCAAAAGAGAACTGGTTCCTATCAAATGAGATGACCCGTTTAAAATTGTTTTTTAAAAAGATTAATTTTATTTTTAATTATGCGTGTGTGTGCATGCACACGTGGGTGCACATGTGTCTGTGTCTGTGTGTGGGGGGGAGTGGGTTGATTTCTAAGTTGAATCTTAACACTTGAGTTAGACTTGGCCAGATTAAATGAGTGAATTCTACTCAGGTGATTTTGGGGGTATGATGCATATGTGCACACTTATACAGTGATTTTGGTTGTGTGCTGCATGTGTGTACACATGTATACACAGTGTTTTGGGGTGTGTTGCATGTGTGTGCACATATATAGAGAGGTGCATGCACACGTATGAAGACCAGAGGAACATAACAGGTATTCTGCTTCATTATTTCCTCCAGACAGGATCTCTCACTGGACCCAGAGATTACCATTTTGAGACTGGAGGGGCTGACCAGCAGGATCCAGGGGTCCATGTGTCTCCCAGCCCTGCCCCTCCAGCTCTGGGGTCACAGGCACACACAGCCATGCTAGCTTTCATATGAATGCTGTGGATCCAAACTGGGTCCTCCTGTGTGTGGTAGGCAGCCTGCCTCACTGCACCATGCCTCAGCCCCCAGGTAATATTTTATGGCAAACACCACTGAAGCAAACAAATGGTGTCTTTATTTTGCCCAAACCCTCTGCTATTGTGTTTTTAATCTATATGGAGAAGACAGTAGCTAAGGCTATTGTCCTTACAAATCTTACATAATCCAGCATCAAGTGATACTAGGAATTCAACGTCACCATGAGGGAGACCTAGCACTGTAACCAAAGAAATGCAGTATGTTTGTCCAAACATAATTTGGAAGTAAATAGTCGCAGACTTGCTGCGCGGCCTTGCCTCACTCCTGTGCGTTGGGTCATTTACTATTCATTTCAGTATGAAGCACAGCTCACTGGACAAAGGCATGGAAGGTTTCTTTAATAAGTCTCAGCACTAATTTAATTCTACTTAAACACACATATTCCGGGGAATGCCACGTGCTTTTCAGCATGATTTTATGTGTAAATCATGATAATATGTTTTCAGCTCATTAAGTAAAAGGAAGCCTGAACTAAAACCTATTTAATCAATGAGGTATCACCTTTAAACTGCCACAGGACATAAAAAAGATCATTTCAAAGTGATAAGTTTCCTAACTGTAATCAACAACAATCTAATGATGGAAGAACATATGTCCTGACGGTTGTAATAAAGTGCAGTGGATCTCTGCATCTTAAGAAAATGCCTCCTTTCTGGATGAAGGGTCACCTCCCAAACTTGGATTTCTGGTACTTACTCTGAGGAGTTACACTGAGCCCAGATGGTGTGAAACATAGATGAGTCTCAGTTCACAGTGGACCTCTGCTCTGCCACATTACCACTGAACAATAGTTTAGCTCCTTCCTCTTTACATGATGATGATATTGGTGTTGGCACATACACCCACGTGTGTACTGGATGAACAATAAGGGTATACTACTTTTAACTGAATCACCATCTTTTATACAGAAGAAATTCTTAGATCATATAGGCTTACACACATGAACAATGTATTAAATTAGCTCTTAGAACTGGGCGTGGTGGCATATGCTTTTAGTCCTAGCACTTGGGAGGCAGAGGCAGGCAGATCTCTGTGAGTTCAAGGCCAGCCTGGTCTACATAGTAAGTTCCGGATCAGCTGGGGCTACAGGGAGACCCTGTCTCAAAAAGACCAAAATAAAACCAAACCCAAATAAATTAGCTTTATAGTGTGAATACAAACTAAATTGCTATCACTTATGAATTATCTAAATTGGTATAAATGCCATAAAAGTGACAGTTTATTAAATTTGGTGATTCCAGGAAGTTTGGCTACAGTGCAGTCATTAGGTCTCCTGGAATCCTTTTCCTGGAGTATTTTCAGAAAACATACATTTCTGAAGCTCATTGAGAGACCTGTTCTTTTTTACCAGGCTTTCTGTACAAGAGCTGGGCAGACCAATCAGAGAGGGGGATTTCTTCTTAGCATATAATCCCTACAAATAGTTAGGACATAGGGTTGAGTGCAGATCTTAGGAAATGTAATTATAGCAACTTAAAAAGAGGCCAATTTTGAATATAAAAATATTTAAAATAAACATACCCAGAATGCATTGCATTTCACACAGGAAAGATACTGAGGGCTGCCCACCAGGCCGCAGAATCTGCAGGTGTCTATGGGAATTCCTATTCTAACAGCTACAAGCTGTTCTTTGCCCCAGACTCAGAGTGTTAAGCAGAGGTCTAAACCACAGTTTGAGAAACCCTGGGATTTCATTGCAGGCCAACGGCAAGGCTCAATCTTAAAACATGAACTTTGAATTAGAGTGAAGTTCTCAAAAATCATTCTCTGAAATGTCTAGAAATGTCTAGAAAAGGACCCGAAGGACAAAGATGATCGAGATTTCGAATCTGATATTGTCAATATATTCTCCAAATTCTCCCAACAAAATATAAACAGCTGTTATCCTTTACCTTTCCATATATGTATATATATAAAATATATGTATTATGTATAAATGGTGAAAATTGAAAAGTTGAACAAAATGTGGCGAGTTAAAGAAGCAAAACAACCCCCAAATTACCTAAAAACAATCTCACATTTTCTAATGTTGCTAAGATACAGACAGCCAGAGGTGCACCTGTGTACAGTATACTTAAATACCACACACACACGCCCACACGCACACACACACACACACACACAGAGAAAGCAGACTCACCAAGGTAACAAAAGAATGTAAGAGTCTCCAAAAAAAATAAAGGCAGAAAAACATCCAGAAATACAACTGACCCTTTAAATTCCGAAAGAATAAATTACAATAATAAAGTATTCAATGGTAACTTAGTCTTTGGGAGGCTGGTTAAAATTAGAGAGAGTGACAACAATATGCAGGCTCACTCCCTGGAGGCATTTCAATCAGAACAGGGTCACTGACCAAGCTGCCCTGGGTACTGGACGTGCTCATGTGTACTGTGTAGTTGGTGAAAGGGATTAAACCATTGACCAGCGCCCGCAGTGTATTTTCTTCCCTGCTGTGAATGGTTTTGTGCCACTTAGAAGGGTCTAGTTTTCACCTGTTGATTAAAAAAGAAAATCGCAGTTAAAGGCCATTTCCGGTTATCACTTAAATATTTTCTTGGGTTGCAGAATATACACTAGTATGTGGAACTGTAACATTACTATCCAAGGGGCTGGAGAGGTAGCTCAGCAGTTAAGGGCACTGTCTGGATTTGCAGAGGACTAGGGTCCAGTTTCCAGCACCCACATGGTGAAGCACGACTGTCCGAAACTCCAGATCCAACAACCTCTTCTGACCTCAATGACACAGATGCACTAACATACATGCAGGGAAAACACTCCTACATGGTGAAGCACGACTGTCCGTAACTCCAGATCCAACAACCTCTTCTGACCTCAATGACACAGATGCACTAACATACATGCAGGGAAAACACTCTTACACATAAATTAAAAAGAAATAAAATCTTTATAATATACGCTACATCACTGCTCATATGAGCCTACAGTAACGGTGTCAGCATGCACAAGACCCATACAAACTGAAGCAGATAAAAACCCAGCATAGAACTGTGGAAATGGACAGCAGGCCCCAACCTTAGCTAAAGAAATAGCCGATTACTACTGGGTGAGGAAGACTTATCTTCCTAAAGTAAGAGACTCTATACAGGCTAACTAGACCCCAGTAGATGAACTTGCACTGAGGGACATCTGGGGATACTAGCTTGACACAATAGACCTTAACACAAATGACAGAATTATGAATTCCAGTGGGGGGTATGGGAGGGGTCAAGTGGGGAAGGGAGTATAAAGATGATTAAGAATGACTGAAATGTTCTGTGTGAAATATACAAAAATTCAATAAATTAAAAAAAACACCAAAGAACAAAAGTTAAAACCAAAAACAAACCAAAAATCACTACCTGAGAGTCATTCCTTGTTCTGCCATCGAAATTCACACTCATATTTTACTATTTATGACCCAAATTAAAGCTGGGTTAGTACCTACAGTTCATCACAGCCGAATCAGCTTCAATGAACACAAAGACCATGCTATACAGCAAGTTCAGACATGTACATAAAAAGTGTCCAGATCTGGAAAACGATCAGCCTATGAGACGTTTCAACACTTCATCTTCTTCTAATCCGTGAGTTTTCTTTACTGTACAGGCAGAAAAAGACGACGCCTCTCAGTCTGACAGCTCTGCATATAAACAGCACGCTCAAATGCACGCCATTTATTCATTTTAGCACCAACTGTGGTATTTTGTGCTCGTTTTTCTTTCTATTTAATGTTTTCTTAAATCAGAACTGGTCAGAATATCCTCAAAAAGCAACCATGGACAAGAGGTAAGAGCCGTCCACTTTGACTGGATCATCTGTTTTTCAACTCTCTTGAAAATGCAGAAGTTGCTTGATCAAATTAAAGAATCACTTGTCTTCACCTATGTCTCACCACCCTCTCCCTTCTAAATCTTTGGCAAAGTCATTCTTAAATCTCAGTATGTGTAGGATGGAGTAATAAGCGCCTCCCTCTTTTGCATCACTGCATAACTATCATGGTGAAAAGTATTAAAAATCAGATCTGAAATGGGAATGTGGTAAGAGTTAAATAGTGTGACGTTTGCTTCACATTCTAAATTAATACTTTCTTGAAAAGTGTACACACAGTGACATATTTTCAAAGTATTGTTTAGTTTTAGCTAAATAGGACTCTGTTGTAACTACTCTTTAAAAAACACAGACTAAAGAACATTAAAATGCCAATACTTATTTCCTTTGTCAAAATGTATTCTGTTCACATACATTTCATCTTTTCTACAGATTTTGCAGATAGGAAAAAAAAAAAAACACATCAAAAACCAGGACACTGGACTCAGAGGGGGAAACAAGCAAACCGCTAAGACCTAAAGATGCTAACAACATAATTGTTATTGATTAAAACATAAAAGACGGTCACATAACGTCGGTGGTCTTGCATTATATAATGAAGAAACTCTAATGCCTACAATATTTATACAATGTATTCTACCACTTTAGCAGCAAATTGAGGTGCAAGGAAAAGGGCAGACAAGGTGTGCTGTGTTCGGGAGCTTGGCCTTACCTATTTTTAGCAATGCATCCTTTACTTAGGTGCTTAACGCTTCTGAATCTCTAGGTCATCATTCACGATCAGGAAGTGGTAATCACAGTACAGGGGGCCTACAGAAGTGAAGTGAGATCAGGCTGACCACACCCAGCACACACTGTCTTCTCATGAACACCTGCTTTTTGAAATTCTTGGGTTTCTGTGTATGATCAAAATAGGGCATCACTAAGCTAAGGAACACTGGCAGGGTGTTTCTCACTGTATGCAGTTTTATTTTACTACCTGCTATCTTTTACCTGGATTACCAAATCTAGTTCTCTCATCACAGAGCTCAAAATTGGAAGGCTGCTTACTGTTTTCCTTGTAATCCATACCATTTATTCCTTCCAGACAGCAAGAGTCAGTGTTTAAAGTTGTGCACCTTGCATTTTATTTCTTGTGGCTATTATCTAGTGTTTAGCTCTACAGGTTTTCCGACATAACAATGTATTCATCATTAAATCTCCATGGTTATCTAAATTAACTGATCAATCATCCATCATGCCATTATCCCAACAAATGATAGTCCAAATTCTAAAATTAACAGGACTCAGTACTATCAAAGGAAGTGAGTTAGGGAGGGCCATTTCATGAACTGTGGGTATGACACATAAACACACACACACACACACACACACAAATACTTTAAACACATACAAAACTTGAAAATAATACTTATAACAATTGGGGATGAAGGGAGCAGCTGAAATTTTCATCATAAATTATGCAGGTATAAGTGCCTTCTGTGGCCAGAAGGAATCTCAACAAAATAATTTCTTATTCTGGGCTTAAAGTCAGCACAGTTAAAGAAATGGTTTATTCTCAAACCATTCCCAGAACACTGGGAATAACAATTTCTGTTTATTTCCAGTAAAGAAACATTCCAAGTTACAGACTGGGTTCAAATCCTAAATGGAAAGAGATATACTATCCCTAGGCATGTGCTGTGCAGGTATCAATGAGTTCTGCGAACAGCCTTTTAGAATTTCATTCTGCATTGAAAGGTTCTTCCAAACCGTGCTATCTTAGCATTCAAAGATTCCTTACAGCTAGCTGGTTAACTTGACCTCACCAAAAACCAGTGACTTCCAACTGCATACAAAAGAGACCTTGGTACAAATGAGAATACACCCCAAATACATAAAACATGGCTCTTGCGCTCAAGAAATCTGGTTAAGATTAAACACAAGTCTCCTCTGATCACTGTCTAAGCACTATTCCATGATGGGCATCCGAACAGCCTGGCCCTTCTGGAGCATGTGCAGTTACAGCTTGGACAAAGGCTGCCGTTGTCACACGCTCAGCTGTAAATGCTCAAAAAGGTCACCTTACCCTACAGACACCTCGACAGATGCTCTTCTGGCTCCAGAGGAGCGTAATTTGCACATCTTATAAAAGATTGAAAATACCAAAACAACAACAGAATTCTACAATTATGTCACAAGAGCATAATTTCATCAATTTCTAGCCAGGTGTAAACGTAAGATCAAAGAGTAGCGTGTACGCTCACACTGGTGATGTTTTCCTTGCCACTGGTGTGTTTATTTGTGCTAGAAGCAAATTTTGAGCTGTGTAACAAATACTATTGCAAGCTTTGGAAATGGCTTGGCAGGGGGAAATATATTAAGTACCACTTTATTCTAAGTTTCCCAGATAACAACATTAATACATGGTAATTATACAATTAGTTGTAACATTAGGTTCTAGTTATAGAACAATGATTATGCAGTAATTATAAGAAGTATATAATTACTCAATAATTATGAGAAGTATGTAATTACATAACCATTTTGCTCAGCTCAAAAATGAACGAGTGTATCTCCAGGAACCACACAGCTGAGGGAGTTTAAAGTTCTCTTGTATCTCCACAAACATGCAGCTCAATTCACAGACCTACAGTGACATAATTTCAACTCTCCATGAAGCTAAAAAAAAAAGAAAGAAAAAAACCTCTGGATTCAAAAGCAATAAGGATCTCAAGAATCCAGGTCTTCATCCACGTCCCCTCCCATCCTTCCCTTCTTCCTTTATGTTCCTAACTGGGGCTCCTAGGTACAGGGGACAGCTTGTCAAAACACAAGACCTCAGACTTTCCCTTGGTTCGATCTCCAAAATGAAGCTGTAGCGGTGAGCATTGATTCCTGTCTGGTCAGCCTCTGCTCTTACCCAATTTGTGAGTGTAAGTGGGTGTGCAGTTTGCATTTTGAGGGTTTGGAGTCACTGCTCCCTACACCCTGAATCACCAGCTCTATGATATTTAGTTGAGCATCTAGACTCCTCAGATACTGTGTCTTGATAGGAAGCACTGGACTTCAGACCCCACCAGGGATGCACTGAATTCTTTGCAGAATGGGCTGTGTATGTCTGTATTCCATGGTTCCCCCACTCTGTAGTCACCTAGGGTTACCACATAAACATTTCACCCGTACCTACGGAAGGAGGATTCAGTACCAAGTAGGAAACACTGAGTGATTCCACAACATGGTGAAATTTCAGTACCGCCAACTGAGTGATTTAGTCTGTAGTTAGGCTGATATAAATGGAATGACCAAAAATCATTTCCTCTATTTCTAAAAGTGACTGATCACATGCGGCTTCCTAACTAGTGGAGCCTTTGGAGTCTGGCTGTAGACTAGACAGTGTTTACTAGTGAAATTAGCCATGTAGAGAGAGGATAAAGCTAATGTTTAAGTAGCATCTATTTTTGCAGACTAAAACACCTAGTCCAGATGTCCCGTGAGACACCGTAAAATGTACAGGAAGCAATCTTTAAAAGTGAGTGATCATTATCGCATGATCACTCTTGCAGAGGACCCAGGTTCAGTTCCCAGCACTCATGTGAGAGTTCAGCTCTTAGGACCCACATGGCAGGTCACAACCATCTGT